GACTTAAGACGATTCATATTTGTACTACCTGCGTTACCCATTCTGTGCGGTAATACAAATCGCTGTAATAATAATTGCTTTTTTACGTCGGTAGATTATGATGACGATTACTTCTCTAATGAGCTTAATAGCTAACATAACAATTGGCAAATTGGCGCGATTTTTCTAAATTCTAATTACAGTTAAATTTATTTTCATGTTTTCACGTTTTCTTTTATATGTGCAAACTGTTTATTCATTAACTGAGAGAAATTGTTCATATTCTTTTCTGCTGGACAATACTATTCCGTTATGGCAATGACGCAATTCTATAGTTTATATTTTGGATGCGCGTTATATTCATTTAAAAAGTATTCGTCAGAGAGCAGTTAAAAGTTTTGTTAGTGCATTGAAAGTAAATAAAATGTATTATTTAATTTATATTTCTTAACGAAATTATAAAAAGGTACACTCCGGTAAGTTAAATTTATCAATAGCGCTAGAAAACTATGAGTCAACCATTACTGGTGTCATTATATTTGAAAAATTGATATGTTTAGCACTGATGTGAAAAATATGAGATGGTTGATATTGCAATGTCAGAACAGGTTCTATACCTGTACTTGTTTAATTGGTTCTGTCATTTATTCGATCTAAGCGTTGAGTAGAAAGGTATTCACTTCCAATAGGCAAAGAAGCATATTCAACACAGTGACCTAAAACTTAACACAAGTACTCTACTAACTCGGTATTTAGTTCATTTTAAGAGTTAGTGTGGCTAGTTGAGGAACCAAAACTAGTTTAGAAATTATTATTAATCACTTAAAACCCCACTCATAACAAATGAAATCTGTATCTTATAAAGCCGCTGTTAATTCGAAGCCTGGTAGAAATGTTTACCAGATCCATCTAAGGTGGAGAAATATTATGTGCTAAAAATAATTCCAACTGACCATACACACATATTGAAAACTAGCAAAATCTTTATTAATGTGATGTAAGTCTTGTTTTGATTTCTAAGGATTTCCTTTTCGCGTTGAGTAATCTACAATTTGAAAGGACCAAAGTGAGGTAAATGGTATCCGTAGAAGATAAGTCTCTCTCTTAATATTTCCGCTGCGAGGAAATAAAAACACCGAAGGTGAGAACGGCAGGAATAGCCATTGAAGCATATGCCATAGATTTTAACATTATTTAGAATTCTTCCGTTAAATGAAAAATTTTTTAAGAACAAAGAGTAAAAAATTTTAGAAGCAACGCTTTGCTTTTAAACAATTACCTCAGAAATTGTGTAGAGTACTCATTGTTGTTCGGTTTTAGTCTCTTTTTTCTTTCGGCACACAGAGTAAGTAGAGTCGTATTTCATAGAGTGATGTTATTGAGAAAATATATAGCACGACCGACAACTTCAAACGTCTTTTGCAATTTAAAACAACGAATCAAAAAATAATTATCTCCGGATATGGAAAGTTACAAATTGCAATTTTCTAGAGAAAGCAAGTATTAAGGAACGCAAGAAACTAAGTTGTATAAGTAATAAGAGTCCTCGCTAACATAACTTAAAATTAACCAAATTTTCATTTGTTTAACTGTTCATTCGTATTCTCTTCACTTATTGATATACTAATCATTTCATCTCTCTTAATTACGAGAGAACGTGAGAACACTTAGCGAATCCTTTTAATGTTTTTTTTCGAGAACGAATAAAATCACGATATTTGTTTATCAAATTAGTGCCATCCAAACAGTGTAAAACTGGGATAAGTAAAAATGATGATTGGGATGAAAATGACGATCACTTATTTGCCTCCATTAGCACACAAGAAATCCTAGATCAAAACGAGAAGATCAATAATAATAAAAATAATAACTTGCCCAATATATCTAAGTTTCAAGCAAATAGACAGATAACCCAAGGTATGGATTCTTTAACCTTTTTTGATGCTGATTTTTATACTTTTTTTTTTATTTCTGCAGGTTTTCAAACAGCGAATGGCAAGAAAGTGGTCATATCTGAGGAAGGGAAAAAACGCCTTTTTAACACATCTTTAACAAGCAGGAAAGAGGAAGGAGATTACCCCAGATGGAGCGGCAAATTGTCAGCAGCTGAGAAAAAGTCGAATATAAAATTTGAAAACGATGAAGGGTGTGGAGAGATGGGAAGCGATTATGCTAATATTGTATTAAGTCAGTGGGTTCTCCCTCAAGATGATTCAAAGCAATTTTCATGTCAACAGACCAATGATACATTGTTGGGTCTTAATGATGAATCCAAACAAACCGGGCATTCGACTTTAAATGTTCCAACGATGTTTCGTAAAAAGTGCTTGTTGTCATCAAAGCCAAAATTGAATTTTAGGTCACCCGAACCGAGACCTCAACACTCGAATTAGTAGAGTTCCTTAAAAATGCTGTTGAAACAAGTACAGCATGCCATAACCCAAACCACAACGTATAACCAAAAATATAATCAAAAGAATCCGTCTAGTTGGAGCTTACAGCAACAAGCACTTTTTCAACTGCTTTGATTTGTCATTGGGAAAATCAAACTGGCATTTCCTGTTGCTGTATATTAATTTATATATTTTGTATTTAAATATAAATAGCTTTATTTATATAATAGCTTTAAAATATATTTAAAATAGCTTTATTAATATATATAAAAATATATTTTTATATAATTATATACATACTGGACTTTCAACTCAACGTCGTGAGTTCAAGTCTCAAGTGCGGTAGAGTTTTTTTTGATGCTAGCGCTTTAAGACTTTAAGCTTAGAATTTATTCTCTGGCTAAATTTATAATAATAATAATAATAATTTTACAAGTTAACCTAAAAGTAGACCGTCATTTTTTTTTTTTTATTATCAAATTAAACACTTTTTCAACTGCTTTGATTTGTCATTGGGAAAATCAAACTGGCATTTCCTGTTGCTGTATATTAATTTATATATTTTGTATTTAAATATAAATAGCTTTATTTATATAATAGCTTTAAAATATATTTAAAACAGCTTTATTAATATATATAAAAATATATTTTTATATAATTATATATATACTGGACTTTCAACTCAACGTCGTGAGTTCAAATCTCAAGTGCGGTAGAGTTTTTTTTGATGCTAACCCTTTAAGACTTTAGGCTTAGAATTTATTCTCTGGCTAAATTTATAATAATAATAATAATAATTTTACAAGTTAACCTAAAAGTAGACCGTCATTTTTTTTTTTATTATCAAATTAAACAAAGCAGTAGCTAAATTTTCGGCTAATGGCAGAACGAACGTAATACTCTATGCGAATCCTCTGCTAATCAATCAAACACATCTTTTGAAATTCTATACAAACAAACAAATTGGCAATTTGACAACAAAAAGTAGCAACAGTAGTAGTGAATAAAGCATATAAATAAATAAATAAAGCATATTGTGGCTTTTCTTTCCTTTTTTAACTTTATTGAAAATGTTTGGTTATGTTCGTTGTACATGCGTTTAAGGTGTGTTTCTAAAATCCATTATTTGGACAGTATAGGCCTGTGGTTTAATTTTGCATTTAAAGAAAGCGGATACCGTTCACGGTACACCACTGGAGCAGCTACTTCTGCAAATTTGCTAGTGCTGGGAGCTTCGTCCAATTTTATTTCTTTGCACATCGCTTCAAAGTCTGTTTTTTTGGCTATTTGCGCACTGCTGTTTGCAGTTATTCCAAACGCCCTTTTAATCAATATTTCAGCTTTTGTGTCTTTTAGTACAGTTTCATAATACTTTTCATATAGATTGCCTTGAAATTCTTTTAGAATATTTTGCACGGATCTTTTGCTCTCTTCCGATATGGAGATTATATAAACAAGATTATATATTATATTTCAAGCACTTGTATGAATATATGTAAAGAATTATCATTAAATTTTTCAAAACAGGGTAAAATCGAATGGCACGTCTATAAAAATTATATAAAACTATTGAGCACATGAGATTAATATGAGATTTTCATTTTTCCCAGATAATCCCAGTTTATATATTACTAAGATATTACTAAGATATTACTAAGATAAATATGCTCATATATACTACGAGCTTTTCGTTTTTCCATTCCTTTGCCCCTAGGCGAATACTCTATATAATCTTCAGTTTGGGCCAACAGTAGCGATTTAGGTGGTGCTTGCAAATGTTCTTCAATGTTCTTCACCGCCATACTTTTCCACAATATGTTCCTTCGTCTGAAAAAAATAAAATATATTATTAATTGGTCACACGGACGCCAGCAATGCCAGAAATCCCCTCAGGAAAATCAACAAAACTTTACAATAACAATGCCAGCAACCCCCAATGTTGTCAAGTAAATGCTCCCAGAACAGGCCAAATTTTATAATGAATAGCCAGGTTTTCCACCATTACCGCCATTCAAATAATATTTTTGATATATGGACGTAGATATTTTCGTTGTTCTTTCGCTTTAGTTTATTTTAAAAATTGATGGCAGCATTTTTCTTTTCCTTTTTCTTCATTCAACAACTGCGTTGTGAAAATAATTCTCCTTCTTCTTAAATGCTTTGATAGTGTATTTTTAGCTTTTTATTTATTTTTTTTCAATAACCTTTTATTGTCAATTGTACATATTTAAAGAAAGATGTTGTGAAGAAGTTCTTATTACGGGAAATTTTCCAGAGTTTTCGTTCTTTTCTTTCTGTTTTTGCTTTCTTTGTGGCAATCCGTAAATATTTTTCTTTTAAAGAAAAAAAAAAAGAAGAGTGCTGCCATACTATATGTGAACAATAACAGTACAGTTTCTAATCTCGCAGACAATAAACAAACGATATCGTAACTAACTTTTAGAGCGTGCAAAGAAGAAACGTGCAAAGTGTTATCTAGTTTGTGAAATACTTAATTGTTTATAATATAAAAAATATAAAAATGCGTATTACGTGTAAATCGGATTGTGTTAAAGGTAAAAAAATATTAATTTATATTTGTAAACTTTTTAATGTACCCAAAAATCCATCTTAAGCATCCTAAAACCGGAGATGCGTTGTGTAAAGAATGTTTTTTCAGAGCTTTTGAGCTGGACATTCATCACACCATAATAACTAATAATTTATTTGAAAGTGGATAAAAGTAGCCATTGCAGCCAGCGGAGGCAAGGACTCCACCGTCTTAGCTCATATGTAAGTTTTCTTTTTTATGAGAATGAATAACAAACAGTGTCGCTCACTTTACTCTCATTCGTTTTTCAGTTTAATACTCTTGAATCAACGTTATAATTATGGCTTAGAATTGGTGCTATTATCTATTGATGAAGGTATAACCGGTTATCGAGACGATAGTGTGGAAACAGTCAAGAAAAATCAGGATGATTACCAAATGCGTTTAAAGATCCTTTCCTATGAAGAATTATACGGCTGGACTATGGATCTTATAGTTGCTCAGATAGGTCGTTGAGTGCACGCCGAGATCATATGATCTTGAGTGGTCCGTAGGACATCTTGAGAGAGGATATAAATCAAAAATCACAAGATGGAAATTGTACGTAAATCGATTGCATTGGTTTTCATTAGTCAAATTTATATTAATGTTAATTTTCTGTGTCAAATCCTTCACTTGCATCCGTGCAGTAGAGAAAGACCTCATTACAAATCAGCTATTAAAGAAAAATATATATCTTCCGTGGCGGTGGAAGATAAGCCGGACCTAGTAGTTATAAGGACGACGGAAAGAAAGTTCGAAATTCCTGGTTGTGAAGAGGTGTCCAAGGATGTAAATAGTATAAAGCCACGGGCAATATAGCTATAACAACGTTCGAAAACCGGAAAGCTTTGGCAATTGAGAGTTTGAAAGTAAGTGTTGTGAAATGTAAACGTAAACAGAAGACGTAATTCTTTTTAGGTTTAAAAATGATGATTTAAATTTGAACGGATATATGAAAACCTGCTTGCTTTCTTTAAATTTTTGGCAGAAAATCAACAATAAAAGTTAAGTTATTTTTGATTTTAACGAATTTGAAGAAAACTTGCATTTATTGATAAAAATGTGAGCACAAATAGTAATACAATTTACTGAAATGTTTTCAAGCTCTATCAGAATTCAACTTGTGTGTTCCTTTTAATTGATTTGTAAAACATTGTTTGTTTTAAGGCGGCTCACAGTTCTTCGCTCGACTACGATTGTGTTGGCCGATGATTCGAAAATCTTCAGAGTTGTATAAATGCCGGTGCGAAAAACAAAACCCTAAAGGAGAAATTTTGGCGTAATCATTCATCATTTCTTTCTATTCGATTTAACATGACTCAGTTGATGCACGTTCCCCTTGCCGATGCCGTTAATGCTTCATCTAGTGCTCGGGGGAAGGCTCTCTCGCTTCTTCCGATTCATTTTCTTCGGATAATATTAACTCGTTTTTTAGACGATTACGATGGTTCTGTTTCATTTTTCTTCTGTCTTGTTATATTGTCGCACTAGTTGATTATGTAG